GTTGAACCTTTCTCATTTTTTTTGATGGCGAAGGCCCTTGGCCTTAAAGGGTGTTATTTCGCACTTACCGAAATAATACCCCGTCGTAGTTCGAGCGAGGTTAAACATTTCTCATTTTTCTTTGATGGCGAAGGCCCTTAGTCTTAAAGGGCGTTATTTCGAACTTATCAAAATAACAGCCCGTCGTAGTTCGAGCGCGGTTGAACCTTTCTCATTTTTCTTTGATGGCGAAGGCCATTGGCCTTAAAGGGTGTTATTTCGAACTTATCAAAATAACAGCCATTCGTAGTTCGAGCGAGGTTGAACCTTTCTCCTTTTTCTTTGATGGCGAAGGCCCTTGGCCTTAAAGTGTGTTATTTTGAACTTATCGAAATAACAGCCCGTCGTAGTTCAAGCATGGTCGAACCTCTCTTTTTCTCTTTGATGGCGAAGGCCCTAGGCCTTAAAGGGTGTTATTTCGATCTTATCGAAATAATAGCCCGTCGTAGTTCGAGCGAGGTCGAACCTTTCTCGTTTTTCTTTGATGGCAAAAGCCCATGGCCTTAATGGGTGTTATTTCGAGCTTATCGAAATAACAGCCCGTCATAGTTCGAGCAAGGTCGAACCTCTCTTTTTCTCTTTAATGGCGAAGGCCTTTGGTCTTAAAGGGTGTTATTTCGAACTTATCGGAATAACATCCCATCGTAGTTCGAGCAAGGTCGAACCTTTCTCGTTTTCTTTGATGGTGAAAGCCCTTGGACTTTAAGGTTGTTATTTTGAGCTTATCGAAATAACAGCCCGTCGTAGTTCGAGCGAGGTCGAACCTTTCTCATTTTTCTTTGATGGCGAAGGCCCTTGGCCTTAAAGGGTGTTATTTCGAACTTATCAAAATAACAGCCCGTCGTAGTTCGGGCGAGGTCGATCCTTTCTTTTTCTCTTTGATGGCGAAGGCCCTTGGCCTTAAAGGGTGTTATTTCAAACTTATCAAAATAACAGCCTGTCGTAGTTCGAGCGAGGTCGAACCTTTTTTGTTTGGGTGTTATTTCGAACTTATCGAAATAATAGCCCGTCGTAGTTTGGGCGAGGTCGAACCTTTCTTGTTTTTCTTTGATGGAGAAGGCCCTTGGCCTTAAAGGGTGTTATTTAAACCTTATCGAAATAACAGCCCATCGTAGTTCGAGCGAGGTTGAACCTTTCTCGTTTTTCTTTGATGGCGAAGGCCCTTAGCCTTAAAGGGTGTTATTTCAAACTTATCGAAATAACAATCCGTCGTAGTTCGAGCGAGGTCGAAGCTCTCTTTTTCTCTTTGATGGCGAAGGCTCTTGGCCTTAAAGGGTGTTATTTCGAACTTATTGAAATAACAGCCCGTCGCAGTTCGAGCGAGGTTGAACTTTTCTCGTTTGTCTTTGATGGCGAAGGCCCTTGGCCTTAAATGGTATTATTTCGAACTTATCGAAATAATAGCCCGTCGTAGTTTGAGTGAGGTTGAACGTTTCTCGTTTTTCTTTGATGGCGAAGGCCCTTGGTTTTAAAGGGTGTTATTTCGAACTTATCAAAATAACAGCCCGTCATAGTTCGTAGTTCCTGGAGAGTCGGGCATCTTTTGTAGAAGTCCCAGTTTGCTTGGTATTGCTTGCATCATATGGTCCAACGCTGGTGGACACGAGGTGTCAACGTTTCATGTGGGCTCGCGCTGTGCACGCGTTATACTTTTCCTGCCCGACTTCGACCGTTTATCTTGGAGATACTGCCGGCAGGGAGGGTTTCGGCTGCATCGAAATAGTTTTTTTGGTCAATCTAGATGTCCCTGTGTACGTTCGCCCACGTGGATCTTATGTACCCGTTTTGGCGAAGTGCGGGAGGCGAGGGTGAGATGTTCTTCGCTTCCGTCTGGTAGTTCGAGGGGGGGAAGCTGGATTGTAGCGCCGTTTGCCTTGTTTAGGATGTTCACAGTCGATAGGGCGAGGAATTCCAGGCTTCGCGAATCCGTTTGGTTCTCCTTCCCTCAACGCGTTGTTTCCGTGTCTCGCGTGAGTTAGGTTCTCCTTTCGTGCTTCTTTCGGTGAATGATCATGTTTCTCAGCTTATCTGGGAAAAACTAGGGGTTTTCACTAGGAAATCCCCACAGACGGCGCCAAATTGTTTGACTCAAAAGATATTAAAATCTTTTGAACAAATCAATCAAAGATGAAGGGGTAAATCGTAGTCAAACTTAATTGATTCCAGACCAAGCGATTTCATAACAATGAATATATATGAGATGAACAAGATATCGTCAGTCTCATTAAGATTCAATATTGCATTCCTCCTCAGTTTCTGAGGAAAGAGAGCTACAATTGCTTTTTCTTTTTATACAAGAATGGAGCTCTTTGCTCTATTTTTCCTAGATGAACCTGGAGAAGCCCCCTCTTTGAAAGCCTTCCTGGGCTATATATATAGTCGAAACCTCTTGATCCCCACTGTGACTTGGTGTGCTGGGGTCAGTGGTGCGTTCTGGTCGTGACTTTAGGCATTGCTCTTTTCGATGTATCGGATATTTTGGAGGAGAAATGAAGTGGACCCTATTGACTTCCATTACCCGATCAGTTAGGGTCAGGTAATCTGCATCCTGAGGCTTAGATCAGTTTTTAAACTGCTTCTAGTCCTTGGCATGTAGATTACCTATCTCTCACTGCCAATATGCAAAACTTTTCCTCTGTCAAGTTCTATGGTGCGTTGTTGTAGCTATGACAACGAGCTATAAGGTAAAGTACATTGTCATTCACTGAGGAACTATTAGCATTTTTTTGTTTCTTATAAGCGCTGTTGTGTTTGGATTGTCTATTGAATAAGATGCCTACACTTTCTTTTACACTTTATAGATACCACACGTATGCTTTTTGAGAACGCCCAACTATGTCTTATAAAAAGGATTAAGCGGTTGCTGTAAATATAATCCGGTTTTAAGTCCGGAATCGAATCCTCAGGGAAGTAACCTATCTATTACACTCTTCGGCAATGTTATTATCAACTCAATCAATCTCTAGATGCAAGATTTTTTATCAATAAAGATTGGGTTTTTGTTTAACTACTTCAACTACTATTAAAAACAACAGTAAGCTAAAACAAAGATAATTCAATGGTAAGAAGTTCTAGGGCAGTGATTTCCCCAATTGCTAGTTTAGGTCTTGACTCTTCCGCTATAATCTCGCCATAATACTCTATGAGGATTAAGAGTTATGGATTATCGTAATTATCTCTCGATCAACCACGATAATTTACTAGAGCATTCTCTCGAACTACTCTAGCTGACAATAGTTATGCAACTCTAAATTATCCCACCAAAGTTTTGTTATCTCTAAACCCGCTTTTAAGTTCAAGTAATGAATCTCTTCAATTACCCAAAAGTGGTGTTGTTCAACAGCTATCTAACCTAATATTCTTTCTCAAGCAATATAAGGTAATTAGACACGATTAATCAAGGGCTCATTCAATTAATCACCATACAAAACGTAGTTGAACAATCATATCATACATCCGGCTCGATTATAACAACTTGAGTCAAAACTTCAACCAACAATTGGTTCCATCAACCCTAGATAAGTATTTAGCTACTCATAACAAAATAAGAGAAAACTACTAAAGTGTTCATAATGTAAAGTTGCAAGAATTAAAAGGAGATAGAAAAACTCTAATGTTTGGTTGATCTTCTCACTCTTGTTTTTACCTCCAAAAGTAGTCTAAAATCAGCTTTTTTTCATCTTGGGCGAGTTTCTAAAGCATATAAGGGTTTTACAAAAGTTTTCCCGATTTACACTTTGGTCCTCAAACTTTCCAGCAGCGTGAACAGTGCACCGCGGTCGCGGCCAACCGCGGTGACCTTTCTGCCTCGCGTTGTTAATCTACCGTGGCCTTCTTGCCCAGGCCATTTATGCTTCTTTGTGTTCGGGTACTTCTTGAGTGGGCGTTTTTCTTCACATTATCGCCTCCAAAACACTCCATGTTACTTCCTCTCATATAATATTCCCTGCTAAACAAAAGAACACTATTTAGAGCATTTTGTTGGCAATTTATCTAAAACAACAACAAAGTATGATCATATTAAGGTGTAAATATCAACTATATAGCCTACTATCACTTATAAAATTATTCCTTGACACCAAATTCAGTCTTAAAATGATTAAAATATGCATCATAAGCCCGGAAAAGATTTACAATCATATACAACTAATTTTTAAATCAAATATGTAAGAAAATGTGCCTTTCATGATCCCGAAATATCTTGCTACAAAAAAATCAGCGACGAAGTAAGATGAAAGGATACTCACTAAATACACGTTGTCTTTCGCACTCGCAAGGCCTACGCAGACTAAGCGATGTCGATATGTAAAGAAGTTAATAAATAAATAAATAAATCACTGATATCATATATAAAAAAATATAATTCAAATACACTACTACAAATTCGACCAATTTTTCCAAAATTTAAGGTTTAAAGGATGTTCGAATAATCCCATCTAGAATGGTTTTAAACTACATGTTGTCAATAAGACCAATTTTTCCAAATTTTAAGGCTTAAAGGTTGTTCGAATAATCCCATCTAGAATGGTTTTAAATTACTTCTTGTCAATAATTATGTGCCAGCTCCTGTGGTTTAATTTTGGAGTCCCCTTCCCATTTATTCCATATTTTCTTGTTCCAGACAGTATTTCTGGATTTAAGACTATGTTGCATTCCAATTAGTAGCTCATGATTTGTATAACCGGATTTTGGAAATTGATGTAGTATTTCCGCACTTGATGTGAGAGGACTGCAGCCTTGATAGAGAATAGTGAAAGCAGGTTTGATCTAAAGAGTTGTCAGAAAGAACCAAGAGCGAACAAAAATTACAGTAACTAGAAAGTAGAAACCAATGTGACTTAACTAAATTAAAGAAACACACACAAGACTTCTGCCAAATTCTCCAAGGAAATCAAATTTTTGAAATTGCCGAAGCAAATTTTTTTTAATTGCAGTAATAGCTTTCGGAACTCGAAACCAAGTAAAAGAACATTTCACTTTCCTTAAATTAGTGAAGAAATAACTGTACAGATAAAGAGCTATACAGAATAAGTTGTGATATGTTAATCGTCATTATATATTAACAGTTTTCTCTCACTCGGTCTATCGCCTTCACGGGGAACAGTGCCGATCCTCACACTTGAGGAGAGTCATGATTTGAGACCTCGAAACACTTTGCCTATTATTGAGAATATCAATGTAACTTCCAAGCCTATAGCGATCGGAGTCTGTCAGTGAGAATGGAGGGTTTAGAAGAAGTAATGGTGCTTCCACCTGAAGGAATGCTAACAAGCGCACTGCTTTTGAATAAAAAACCACTGCACTTTCAGTCCGACCCATGTACTCTTCAACCTGCCACATATTTCAATATCCAGTAAATCATTTGAGTTGAATCTAAGAGATTTAAGGATTTTTGTGTCCCCTAAATGTTGCTGGTGGAAATTTGTTCCACCAAAAACTACAAGATATAATAAATACTTACAGCCCCCTTTCTGCCGAGATCAAGCGCAGATTGAAATATCATCTCCATTGCATCTGGCACCTCTGTATTTCCTAGAAACAAGCAACAAACATACATAAATTTCTTCATCTTGTTAGCTACGGCCATAAAAGTAGCTCTGGGATGCTCTCAAGCTGTGATGTAAAACAATAGCTAATGATAACATTTGATGCATGTAAACATAATACAAGTAGCAGCTACAGAAAAGAGAGATAATTCTATATCTCCAGATCCTTCTCAGAAACAATCAAGATGGCTAGCATACTTGACAATACCAATGGCATTAAAGCTACGCCAGGCATATGACAACTAGAATCATCCTACTAGAAGAGCGAAAAAACAGAGAACAGAGGACAAGCCAAAAGCAGAGTAGCCTTTAATAATGTTCACCTATAAGCACAAAGAGGCCGGATAAAACAAGGGAGGCACACAGCACAAGTTTCAATACATGTTTTTTAATTTATAAAGACACAAGTTTCACTACTTAGTCACCAAATACATACCAGGCTCTATATGTTTGGCAAGTTCCTCTGCCTTCCCAATTTCATTCAGAAATGCTCTTTCAATATGAGAGTACACATTCTCTGGCCGCAAAATGTTACAAGTGTCCTCTTTAATGTTGAGACCAACTCGACTCTCCCTCAAAATCTCCCTCAATTTGGTAGTCTCTTGGTTTGGAATTCCTTCAATTGCCGATGCCACTTGCATATGACATACATCCAAGGCTTGTTTCCATATTGCAAGCATGACAAGCTCAATTGAAAATGCTTCCAGATGCCTCTCTGCGGCAATCTATAAACAGAACAGAGAAGTATTAGTGAGAATATATCAGTAATGATCCAGTAGTAGCTTAAACAGCAGAATTGTCTGCCAAGTCAAAAGGAATCACGAAGAGGCAGTACTTCTGCAATATAGTATCTAGTGAACATTGACAAGTTGAATGTGTACATTTCCGCAAACAAAAAATTCTAAAGAGTAGGCAGATACAGATACAGATACAAGGGAAAAGGTTCGGGTTTGCCCCTCTACAATGTATATTGTTTACATTCATCCCCGTTACACTTTTCGTCCAGATCAACCCCTACCGTTAACAAACTTGTTCGAATTGCCCCTAGCCCCAACAGTCCTCCACCGTGGCAGCCGACCTCTCTAATATTTTGTCCATGTCAACATCCTAGTCAGCAGGTCCCACCAAATAAAAACTCCCTAGATCCATAACAACCATCTAAAATTCTCCATTGTTTAACTACCCGATTTTAACTCTGAAGGAAACCACCAAGGAAGAATGTGAATAAGCTAATGAAACTTGACAGTTTTAAGGACGAGCAACTATGAAGCTTAAACCAAAACGAAAATCTCTTGGGAACTGAGAGACAACGGGTCAATATCATGTTTATCAACACAAAGCACAAAATAGTAAAGAGAAGGGAAAGAGATGGACCTCAGTAAGCAAATTCATTGTAATTAAATTTTGGTTGAGTGTACAAGCAAATGAAATGCCGATGACAAAAGCTCGACCGGAACAGAAATGAAACAACAACAAAACGAACAAACTCTATGGTTTAGTGTAGTAATAGAGAGTGTGCGTGTGTGTTTGTCGGATGAGACAGTGGCGCTTTATGATGGTGTTTCCGAAGTGGGTTTACATGGAGTTCAGGTGGTTGTTTAGGACTTTAGGGTAGTTTTCATGGGGGTTTTGCGGTGTTTGGATGGTGCTTAACGACTTGTTTAAGGGGGTAAGCTACGGTTCGACGGAATGGTAATATTTCTCGGGGCTAAATGAGTGGGTTATGTGGTGGTTAACAGATGAAAGGAAAGTTCTAAAAAAGGTGAAATCGAAGAGGACAGGGATGGTGCTTATGGATCTAGGGAGTTTTAATTTGGTAGGACCTGCTGACTAGGAAGCAGATACGGACAAAATATCAGAGGAGTCAGCTGCTACAGTGGAGGACCGTTAGGGCTAGGGGCAATTCCGATAAGTCTGTTAACAGTAGGGGTTGATCTGGACGAAAAGTGTAACGGGGGACGAATGTAAACAATATACCATAGTAAAGGGACAAATTCGGACCTTTTCCCCAGATACAAATACAAAGAGACACCAGCATCCAAACATTTCGCACCACCTGATATTAACAAGGTTGGTGCATGTTCAAGATATATCAACCAGATTGCTATAGTTGTAAAGGACCGAGGAGTTTAGACTCAGAGCTAAAGTTTTGATCAGAAGACTTGATTTACTGAATGAATCCAGAGCAGAAATCACAGCTCATTCTTTTCATTTTCGTCTTTTTTCTTTTACACTCTCAGAAATGAGAAAAGGCAAGTTTTAAAGAATCGGGTGGCAAATATGGAGCAGCAGATTGGAGCAGTATACAAGAGGGGCGGAGCCAGCATTGTGGCTCCGGGTTCAGCTAACCCGGTAGCTTTGGTTCAATTCCTGTATTTGTCTTGAAAAATTCATTAATTAGTTATAAATTAATAATTTAGAACCCAGTAACTTAAAAGGCTTAGAATGCTGAACCCATAAGCTTGAAATTCTAGCTCCACCTCTGTACAAGAGGAAGATATCCTACAAAGTGAGACAAACTTCATAGAACATTTGTGAGCCCAGTAATGTTATGAGGGGGTAAAGGTTGTGCCTCATAGAAATACGAATGTTAACATGGATTTGCAATCACACAAAATTAAACATATTAGTCACATCAAGCAGAGGATCAAGTAGCACATAAAGAATAAATAAGAGGTCATCTAAGATGATTTTGGTCATATTCTAGATGGACCTTCATATGTACTGTTCAGTAGGTGCCACTATGATGATTGAACGTGACAAAAAGGGACTATATAAACTTAAAATCAGAGGGAAGTCCTCTCAGAAAACCTATGATCTCGCGAATCAATACGGACTTAAAGAACAAAACCAATAGGAGACATCAACTAGATATGATTAGGCTAAGATCTTATCATTGCACTTGCATTTGGTCCGACATTATCAGTCACTTGTATATCTTGGTAAAAGTGCAAGATATAAAGAACACCTCGTTTTGGAGAAATCCTGCCTTAAAAGACGAACTATCTAGTGTTGAAATAAAATAGGAATGAATGGAGCGAAACAGAACAAAGGATTCGTTAGCCGACACAATTAATTTGGGATTGAGGGCAGTTCGGTGTTGATCACACAAGTGTAATGTTTGGCTAAGTCGAACGTGCAAAACTAGATATCTCCAATATAAGTAGAAATTTATTTTTGGGAAAATGCATAAAGTACCCATTAAACTTGTCCGGAAAAATTATTTACACACCTAAATTTTATGGGCAACCTTTTACCTCACTATTCACATCTAAACTAAATTTAATACTTCCTTCAAAATACTGAACCAGTCTTGTGGTGGGTTGTGCAAACACGCGCCATACATGTATCAAATGCTACACTATTTCATTTTTTTCTTTTGCTTCTTCTTTCCTTTTCTACTCTTTTTTTCATTTCATCTTCCTCACCTTCATTCCTCATTATTTTTGCCGCCACTACCTTGAAAGTCATTCACAGTCATAACCTCCCTTAAACCCATCAACTCTATCTCTATTCTTCTCTTTTCATTGTAGATAAATTTATTTGTGGCTTTGACATTACACGAAATTAAGGAGAAAAAGAGTCGGAAAGCTTGGGATAGAGAGAAATGTTTGGTTGGCCGGAAAGCTTGGTGTCGTCGGTACCGTATTTTTTGACAAGGGGGTTTGTGCTCCTAATTCCCTTCGTCTGGGTTTCCGTAGGAGAATTTTGTCACTTTAATCCTCCTAGTTTTGTATTGGAAGAGTGAACAAAACCTGAGATAAAGCCATTGGTTAAGGACCTATAAATTTTCTCCGGCCGAAGAATTTTCCGGTGACACCTTTTCTTCTTTTCAACACTACTTCTGGTTCTAAAGAAGTATTTTTCAGCAAATAGATGAAAAATCGAATGGAGAAAAACTCAATTGAAGAAGGACGGAGATCAGAATAAGGTCACCGGAAATGGATATTTTAGCCAAGCTAGAGCCATTGGTTCACTGCTTCTATTAAAATGAAGAAAGATAAAAAAACGAAAAAGAAAAGAAAAATGAATAAGAAAAGAGAAAAAAAATAGTAATAAGTTTAATTAGTTATAATATCCAATAGGAAAGTGACACGAGGACAATTAAATTAGTTTTAAGCTGTTTTGTTTTTTTTTGCCTTCACACGCACCTACAAAATGAACTACACGTTTTACGCCAGGTCATCACTCAAGAGGTATTAAATTCACGTAAGTTTAGAATAAGGGGGTAAAAGGTCGCCCGTAAAGTTTAGGTGTGTAAATGATTTTTCCGGACAAGTTTAATGGGTACTTTATGCATTTTCTCTTTATTTTTCCTAGAAAGATAAATAAATGAACCTCGGATCATAAGTTACAAAACCAAATAGAACATTTATACCATGTAAATGACCTGGTCCACCACAGAAAAAGCTTTGCTTTGCTTTATGAAATTTTTTAAAAGGTTTTTTCAGAAATTAAAAAGTTGACTTTATGTATGTAAAGCATACTTCAGAAACAACTCAAGTTTGTACTGTACACCTTCTATTCACATTTGTCACAACAGAGACTGTTACAACTCAGACAAAGAAAATAATTTCGAACTTATGACAGTGAACACAATCCACAGCAACAAATACGTTCAACCAAATTTCCAGGAATAAACAGAAAAAGGTGAAGCGAAGGTCTATCTGCACCAAGATGAAGATGTTCATACTTCTGCTTTTTATTATTGATAAATGATTAGGAAACACACATTTTCATCATGCCTAGGTAACTTTGAAGTATACTTTTTGAAGTACACAGAGATGAACAAGTTGATAAAGTTAGATGAGTCCACTTGAGCAAACTTGTTAGACTCCTATGGTCCTACCTTGGATGCCACAAAATCAATGCTAAACAAAAGTGGCAAGGCTGCTACAGAACTGTATTACGCTCTAAACGAAGCTTAGGAGAAAAAAAATTGCGGATTCATAATGAAGTAGACAGAACTGTAGAACCACGTAACTAGCTTAATAAGATAGAGAACCACCCACATTTTTAAAGGGAAGACGCCATCGACGTGAGTTACCTTCTCATTTACTAAATCTGTGATAGCAGAAGCAAATTGTTGCAGTGATCCAATTCTGGCCATGCCATCAGTCGGCTGCTCCAGAGGGTCTATAATATCTGCGGATCCTTGTGAAGCTCCTGGAACAAAAGAGGAACTTTCCAACCTTCCTACAGGACCTATTCTATTAGTTGCAGGACCAACAGTAAGCACCGGCTCACTTACTCTAGTTTCTATGTTCCCAGAGGCTTGCAGAGAAAAACTTGATCTGAATTGCATATTGCTAAGCCTAGATGCAGCTGCTGAAGAAGATGAGTCCATGAGGGACCTAGATACAAGGACATATTCCTTCTCAATCAGCTCGAATGAATCCGACACTGTTGAATCAGGCGAATATCAAATCAGGAAATTCAATTCTGATCAAACTAATTATAGATAAGCAAAAGGCAATTTAACTAAATATGTAGGCAAAAATAAAATTGGGAACATTATTGCAAAAGAGCACCTTTTGAACATAGTCTATGGTCCATTAAACTAGATTCCTTCAGGTTCCCTTCTGAAGGTCCGTGTTCGCTAGGGCTAAAACCAGTAGTATCTGATTTGTGTGTGATGTTACTACAATCCAGAGGAGGATCAGTTTTGCTTGGTGCACTAGAAAATTCTTTCCTGTCAGCTCTTGCATCCTGAGAAAATCCACACGAAGATCTCTGTGGTATTCCAGCAAAAGAAGGACCACCACGATGACTGCTGGAATCATCATCTAGAATAAAAGGTAAACCATCTTCTTGAAAAGTTTCCTCAGTGCTCCTTCCAGGATTGGATTTTTCCAGAGAAAAACCATCTATTACCCTTTGAGGTTGCTGATTCCTGTGTACCATGTCCAACGCATAAAGTCCGAGTATATGGAGCCAAGAACTCTAATTCATCAACTAGCTTACCGAGACAGCTCATCTGGCTGCTTCTGTGCAAGAAATGGGTGGTTAAAGAACTCTTCAAATGTCAAGCGCTCCACTGTGTTTTCAGATATGCAGAAAAAGAAAATTTTGAACTTCGCATTAGAAAATGGCAGGTAATGGTTACTCTGGCTTTAAATCTTATGGCCTTCTCAATGTCAAAGCATGTAGAGAACTACGACATATGTACTCAAGTTACCGTACATGAGGGAGTTTAAACTGTTGAAATCTAGACAACATAAATGAAGTACCTGGATAACGGCGCAATAATTTTTGACACAAATCTATGCAATGAGGACTTAAATGCTTGGCATCTAGAGGAAACTGCAATTTAGTGGACTTCACTATGTTTTGGAGCAACTACAGGAAGAATGGAGAGAAATTTTTTAGAACAAGGCTACAAGGCATTTGAATTTCACCGATCAAACTGAAAATGAAAGAAACAATAAGGTAAGTTACTATGCACAGCTGAAAAGGTATTAAACCTGTATTTGATTGTTTCCAGTAAACGGGGTTTTGCCAGTTACAAGCTGAAACAGAATGGCACCAACACTCCAGAGATCTGCCTGTGTTCGGGGCCAAAAGTTAACAGGAACTTAAAAGAGAATAGCCTATGGACTGGTTTCGTAGAAAGAGAATACCACCTTCGCATCATACTTCTGAAGCTGCATTATTTCAGGAGCCATGTACAATGGCGACCCACATAGAGTTTCTGCAAGCACCCAAGGCTGCAAAGACCTGATAAGAGGGAATGGTACTTTTTAGTCGTTTGGAGTTTTGAGTGAATTACTTAGGAGAACCTTTAACCCTAAGGGGTCGTTTGGCTGGAAAAAAGTTATCCCAGGATTAATTATCCTGGGATTAGTTATTCCACCATTTCATGGGGATAAAAAAGCACTACAATCCCGGGATTAATTATACCTCAATTTTCTCCCAACCAAACATGGGATAACCTCTTCTTAAATTTAGTCCCGGGATTAATCTATTTCTTATCCCTCATACCAAACGTACCCTAAGGCTGCAAATCTAAAACAGAAGGGAAGAATGAAAGAAAATCTGGCAAATGTGTTTTCTGAAAAGAGATGAAATGTAAAGGAAGGGTGGGCATTAGGAGAATGACGTATCAAACAATGTACTATAACTTCACCTTGCAAACCCAAAATCAGCAATCTTCAGGGTGGAGTTGTCATCAGCTGCGGACAACAGAAGATTCTGTTTGATCAAGGCAAAGGACACCAGTCAATGAGTTGACAATTCTACCTAAAAAACCATTCAATTTCTGAAAAAGTTTCCAAAATAGCTCCTATCTCCCAAAGAAAGAATTACTACCAAAGAGACACTATTCATTCATAGAAAACCACATATTTGGTTCCGTTCCCTCAACTAAGATACCAAATTGCGGATGAAAATACTAATATCTCTGTCTACAGACAGTCATCTCATTGAATGAGCTTCCTTTTCCATTGGTATTTCGTTTTGACTAATGAGTTAATAATGAGAAACCTACATTGGAGAAATGTGATTTGCTATTCAAGAATAAAGCAACTGAATGCCTCAATCACCTGTAAGTCATGCCAAGTACTTCCTAAAGTTAATTTTTTTTTTTCTCCAAAGCCTTAGCTACTAGAGCTGGTTATAAATATAACATGTGGCTTAAAAAGAACATGGGTGGTTCTACTTGAACTCAAATCATTAGTAAATGACTAACGAGTAGTCCCTTTGAAACTGTTGTTTTCTAATATTTATACATAGAGAAAAGCTACAGTGATAGACATTACATGCTCATGACTTCAAAGAATCAAAGTGAACTTCTGGAAAGGAACACAGATTTCAGCAGCTAAATGCTCCTCCTTAAACCCAAAAAAAAAAAAGAAAAAAAAAAAATCATATGTTTAAATTTGTAACATAGGTTGTCAAGGCAACCACCAAAGCAAACTAAATTTAGTGCAACACTGGAAGTAAAGCATACCTGAGGCTTTAGGTCCCTATGGATTAGATTGTTTTCGCGAAGGATTTTTAGACCTGATGCTGTGACATGGATATGAATATGAACATGAATATTACCACGTGGAATTCATCTAGAAAAGAATGATTCAGTCTAAAAGTGAGAAGAGGAAAATAGGCAAAAGAAAATAGAAGCTTTACACAAACCTAGCTGCTGCATGAAATGTTTTGCAGTTGCTTCTGCGATCCTCCCTTGGCGTCGTTGTATGTACATTGAAAGATCACCTCCTCTGCAGTACTCCAAAACAAAATATATTTTTCCCGGCTCCTATAAACCATGCACATGAGGGTTCATTTAAGAAAAAGCAAAAGCACAGAAATGAAGGTCGAGAACACATTCTGTTAATCTTCTAAGCAGATTATAAATCAGTCACGCCACGCAACTCCAAATAGAAAAGATACAATGCCAATGTGTAAATCTAGGATGGATTTACTAATCAGGTCTCAGATACTAGTATCAAAATCCATCCATAGCTAGGAATATATTATCATGTAGAGTTACAACAACAACAATTACAACAACTACGACTCAGTCCCAAACAAGTTTGGGTTGACTATATGATTCCTCACTTCTCCATTGAAGCTCAACTCATGTCATCATTAGTTGAGCTTCCATTGAACTTAAGAGAACAAAGCTACTCTTTACACTGGGAGCTAAATCTCCCTAAAACCAAGTTAGACACTTATCATAATTAAACAATATGTTGTTTGTTTAACTTATTATTTCTTCCTAAGATTTTCAAATCAGATTTCTTAACCCAAAAAAATATATATAAAAAAATTAAGCGCTGGATTTGTCGCTTGAAGATACAACAGCATAAAACATGATCTCAGAACTCCATTCAACGAAACAAGCAGTCAGATAAACCTTCACTGTTTCCTTCTTATTTGCATAATCCTTGGTATGTAGATTTATCCAAAAAGTGCAATGATACTCAGCGGGAATAGTCGAGGTGTGCACAAGTTGATCCAAATACAATTGTTAAAATAAATCAATAAATAGATCTCTATCATTTTCAATTCTTCTCTAGTACTCAAAACAAAACAGCACACAAGCACCTAGATGTAAATTCACATGACAACCTACATATAATAGTATTTTGCAAAGCAGAAAATTACACTTCCTTGTCTCTTAAGTTGGTGGGTGATGGGTGCAAAATTTCGGAGCCACTATAGTTTGTAACATCTACGAACTTGAATAAAAATATACTAACATATTACTCTAAAATTGTGCAACTAAATATGAAGTTAAAACGCTGAAATTGAATTAGAGTTGAGTAGTGGGACCTCAATCATGTCATGCAAACGAATAATATTAGGATGATTAATCTTCTGCAAAATGATAATTTCCGACTTGAGGCTCTCCCGGAGTTTCGGGTCGAGCCTAGCAGTAGCAATCTCCTTGATTGCAACGTCTGTACCATCGACACGGTGGCACCCGTGCCACACCGTTGAAAACGAACCCGTCCCGATTTGCTTCACAATCACATAATCCCCAATCATAAACCTCCCACCTCTGTTCATCGATTGAGCCATCCCCGCAAAAATTATGCCAATTGCAGAATAATTCAAAATTTTCCTCTTGTTTTTTAAAAAAAAAATTCTGATACGGGAGGCGTACAGAGATGGAGATGATACTAGGCAGAGGGGATTTAGAATTTTAGATTATCAGTAAGAACTCTGTTGATGGTGACTGAACATCAAAATAATATTACTACTGTATTGAGTAGAGAGATAACAAACAATGGCCTTCGCCTTCTTTTATCAGTGTCTGTATTGGATTTGGAAGTTTGATGATAGTGTGCCGTGTCACTGTACTTGGTGAACATATTGACTTTGCTTCAACTGGATTCTTTATTTATGTACTCCTCTTGTTTTAATTTATGTGTCGCTATTTTAATCAAATTTTTTAATTTTAATAATAAATTTGTAGGTTAAAGAAAAATTAATTAACTCATGCTCATACAATTAATTCATTTATACCTATTCTAAATTCTCTATTGTAAGAATTGGTGATAATTTGTTTTGTCGGTTTCATGAACGATTTTTGATCGAGTAAAATCATATATCATATATTATATCATCATATATGATATCATATACTAGATTATAAGTGTGAAGACCAAAGTATAAGATTAAATTAGCAAAGTATTCATCAAAAGTTGAAAGACCATTTTGCCCTTTACTTTACTACACTCTCTCTCAATAAATAGTGTGAATGAAAAGACAATAACTACGGACTACCCAAAAAATAAATTTGCATTTTAATTATAATAATAAGGTAAATCAAAAGACAATTATTGCTTGGACGTTCCTTCATTTCTGCAGCCACTTGAATTATTTTGGGAAAATGCATAAATACCTCCTAAACCTATACCTGGATTTCCAACTATATATTTTTTCGCGTGAATCTATTACCCCTAAACTTATAGGAGTACAATTTATCTAAACCTTCGGAATATTTTTCTTTTCAGATTTCAACAATTATGCACATTAATATACGCCTCCTCTCATTTTTATTTTCTTTAAAAGCATGAGCTGAACTAGATTTAAGAGTTACCTATTCTATCTCTGAAACAAAATATTTATCTACACCTATCAAATTAAGGTAAACTTTCTTCTTTACATGTTATTTTTCATTTGAGTTTTGTTAATTTCTAAACTCTTTCTTTTGCTCTTCTTTACCAATTCTTTAAACACGATAGTAATTGGATAGTGTAGGCATATAAATTTTATTAAAATTAAATCCATAAAATAATTTGGATTATATTTTAAATTCAAGATAATATTGGCACAAATAAATATTATGAGCTAATATAATTGGATTAATTATATAAATCAAGTATATATGGATTAAATAAATAGGTCTTAATCCATTGGGCTAGCCCATTTAATTGGGCTAAAGTGATGAGCCCACTTCATTAAGCCCAAGATAACATCTTTCTAGAGGCCCAGTTTGGTGCCACGTGTCAAATGATGTGGCGTGCCAAGTCAAACAGAAGAGCCAATAGGATCATGCCACGTGTCAAAATGACAAGGCATGCCAAGTCACACTAAAAAGCCAATAAAATCGTGCCACGTGTGCAAGTGACATGTTCTGGCTAATCAAATGCGGCCATGTCACACTTCAATTTGATTGGTCGGAAAGAGTTTGTTCTTATCACAACTCTTCCCTCCCACAATTATAAATAGGGGTCTTCATAACCTAGAAAAGACACTAGAAGTTATAACAAGAAGCAAGAGAGAGCTCGGGGATCAAGCGTCGCAAATTTCTCTACAAGTTTCAGACTTCAAGCAACCAAGTTCAAGTTCAAGAACAAAGAACAAATCAAGTATTCAAGCTCAAGAACGAAGAACAATTCAAGTATTCAAGATCAAGAACGAAGTCAAATCGAATACAAGGCGTTCAAGATCAAGGTTACTTGTTCGTGATACAATTCGTGGCAACAATCAAAGTGTTCGCGACGGTTAAATCAAATTCAAATTCAAGATCAAGCTCAAAGGCCCTTAAATTTATACTAGAAAAGTAGAATCAGAGGAATCATAGAGATTGTACACTCAAATATTCAAAATAAAATACTACGATTGTTGCGATATTTTTCGGTCTTGATTTTATTTTCTCGACGCAATTTATTGTCTACAAATTCTGGCACGCCCAGTGGGACAATCTCTACCTCTCATCTCAACTTTTCAATCACCAAAGTCCAAGAACATTGAAATGGCTTCAAAGAAAATCAACTCCAGTTCAACTTCCACCAAGGCTGCTAACTCCAGGTTCTATGCTGATATGGAAAGCATCCTCGATGTTACCTTTGGAGGCTTCAGACAAGTTACGAGGAGCAAAGCAAGTTCTTTAGGACAACAAGCACCCCAAGTGTTGTCCGCATCAACCCCTGTTTTCGTATTTTCATCCTCAAAAGGAGCAAGATCTTCCACAAACGCATCTGAAGGAGGAAGCGATGTTGCTGAAAAGATCAAGAAAACTCTTGCTCTGCTTGACCTCTCCGGATCCAAGCACTCTGCTGTGAAGGAGGATGATGATGTTTTAAGTGATGGATCCTCTCCATTTACACCACATAGCGTGAGCCGATCAAGGATCAATCTGTGTGAAAATCCATGCTACTCTCCGTCGTCCACGATAATCATACAAGCCATGGTGACAAATACTTCATCCGTTGAAGAGCAGTTGGCAAACTTGATGGAAGCAATCGTTGGCTTGACCAAATGCATGAAAAATCAAGAGGCTAGAATCGATAAGCTAACAAATAGGGTAGGAATCTTGATGGAAGAAGAATCCAACCATGCACCTGGTAAGCTCCTAAAAGCTCTAGAGAGTAACTCTCCCCCAAGACAAGTAGCATCCACTAAGGCTATCCCTGTCTCATCTGAAGGGATGATTCCAATCGATCAACTGAAGGAGTACATTGAAGGAACCATTAAGAACAAATATGAGGTTGCTGCCAAATCCTCCCTTACGTATGCAAAGCCGTACACTGCAAGGGTCGATATGTTGAAGATGTCTACTGGCTATCAACCTCCAAAGTTTTAACAATTTGATGGTAAAGGTAACCCAAAGCAACATGTGGCGCACTTCGTGGAGATGTGCAACAATGTTGTGACTTATGGAGATTACCTCATCAAGAAGTTTGCCCGCTCGCTAAAAGGAAATGCATTTGACTGGTACACAGACCTCGAGGCTGGATCTATTGATAGCTGGGATCAACTAGAGCAAGAGTTCCTCAATCGGTTTTATAGTACGAGACACACTGTGAGTATGATAGAACTTACAAATACTCGTCAACGAAAGGGGGAACCAGTTATCAACTTTATCAATCGTTGGAGGAATGCAAGCCTCAACTGCAAAGACAGGCTTAGTAAAACTTCAGGCATAGAGATGTGCATCCAAGGCATGCATTGGGGATTGCGCTACATCTTGCAAGGTATCAAGCCTGGCATATTTGAAGAACTTGTAACTCGTGCCCATGACATGGAATTGAACATGGCCTCCATTGGAAATGAAAGGCTGCCCATCTATGAACCTCGCAAAGGGAATGACAAGCAAGAAGTCGAGAAGTGGGGCAAGTTCGTACAAAAGTCTGAAAGCAAAGAAGCTATGAATGTCAATACGTCATCTGTGAAGTTCACGACGAAGGTGAGAAAGAAGTAGAGTATGAAATCCACTTCTTTTCAAGATAAGCCAAGTGGAAAGTTGACTCTAAAAGAAATGTAAGAGAAGGAGTACCCATTTCTGGATTTTGATGTGCCAGCCATTTTCAAAGAACTCCTCGAGTTAAATCTTATTGAGCTTCCGGAGATGAAGCGACCAAATGAAGCTAGGAAAACAAATGACCCAAATTACTGCAAATATCACCGACTTGTAAGCCACCCTCTGGAGAAGTGTTTTGTCTTTAAGGACAAAGCCATGGACTTGGCTCGCAAAAAGAAGATCGTGCTTGAAGATGAGAAAGCAAGCGCAAACCAAGTCTCTATCACTTTTGGCTCATTCAGTCCGGATGAATTATGTGGTTTTAAAAAAATTAAAGATGAATAATTACTGGAGAGCGACAAAGCCGAAGTCAATCAACCTGATGATGATGAAGGTTGGACATTGGTGACTTGTCGTAGGCACCACAAAAGGAGCCTACGAAAAGAATCAATAGAACAACCAACAAGGAAAATGATGGTGAAAAGACCAAGGAGATGTAATCCAGTTAAATATTTGAAGAAAGCAAAAGTAGAGGTGCACCATCCTCAAAAGTCACGACATCCAGTGACCTTGGAGGAGTTCTTACCAAGTTAGTTTCGCACGAAGATTTCCCATGAGGTTATTGAGGCCTCTTGTTGCAATGCTGATAAAGGGGAAGAAGAGAGTGATGTCCTACCGTTGGCACCATCTTTGGAAAAGCTCATCGAGTACACTCGTCAAGAAGTTAATACTTGTGAGGAAAAAGTCACGTTCACAAATGACGATCTTTTGCTAGGTGACACTCTTCATAACCGCCCATTGTACCTAATTGGCTATATGCGTGATGAAAAGGTAAATCGAATTTTAGTTGATGGAGGATCCTTAGTGAACATTTTACTAATTTGCACTGTGAAAGAACTTGGTATCCCTATGAACGAACTCTCAGAAAGTCGTGTGATGATCCAAGGATTCAACCAAGGGGGTCAAAGAGTCATAGGCGCGATCAGGTTGGAAATCACCATTGAAGATATTCAATCAAGTGCATGGCTACATGTGATCGATGCAAAGACTTCATACAATGTCTTGCTTGGAAGGCCTTGGATACATGAGAACAAAGTGGTTCCATCTACCTACCATCAATGTCTTTCTTGTGGCCCAAAATCGTTTGCAGAATGTGGCACTCCCTACAAAGCGAACAGATGAAGGTTTTGATCCTAACGCTTACACTCTATTTGCAAAAACTGGATACAATCCTAATGAGCCATCAAAGTTAGGGAAGCTACCATCAGAAGCTGCAACGAGACAACCACGTGACGATTTAGGATACAAGTAACCTTCACCAGTGCGCATCTCAATAAGAAGGGTGAGTAGCAATTATATCACTGTAGAAGACGAATATGCCGCTTCTAATAGGACTTCCGTCTTTGACTGACTTGGAAAATCAACTGCGAGAACTTCTGTATTTGAGAGATTGGGTCCATTAAAGAAGGGGAACAAGTTCCAGAGAAATTTTCAAAGCATAAGAACACCCGCTCCACCCAAAATTCAAAAGATCTCTAATGATTTCCAAAGTTTGGTTCCTTCAAGAATGAGGCGACAAAAAAAACTTGTGGTTTCAAGGTAAAGCCATATACTGTGGTC